TTTTTACAAGAGAATCAAAAGGGGCTGTGCGCAGAGTTTATAGTGATGATGAATACATATTCGAGAAGACAAGGTCACTTTCAGGGAGCTGGCGAGAGTTCGGATTTCAAAGCCAGAGGAAGTGCAGTCACAACGTGTACATTTTTCCATTTGCAGATCCTCCTCAGGCCAGGATCCAATCAAAAATGATTTAGCTATAGAAACGTTTTCCATCACGCTGTGAAATTGATATCGCAGGAAACTATATTGCAAATAATATGACCCGGTTCTTAGGCTTTTAGAGCCAATGATATTTCCACCAGTCAGAATTCTTCAGATTCAATTGTTCAATAATGCAATACATATGTGGTTTAAGCAATTTGTTTAAGTAATCACTGTTTGTGCAGGTTTATATTTGCCATTGTTTTGCAGTGTGCTTGTGGAAATTGCAAAAATAAAGAATTTAATAGGTAGACAATGAACGTGAGCTCTTTAAAAGCTATCTCAAGGGCACTGTGTCCATTTATCTCTATGAAAGTAATTTATCATGTAGGCTTTATTCCAAAAAAGGAGAAAAAAAAGTTGTATTGTTTGCGTACTGCAACATGTTAATAAAATCTGTAATAAAGTTTGATTATGGATGTGCAGGGCTAGAAGGAATCTGCTGATGTTTGTACGCACTGATTGAGTGGGAAAATCTGCAGAATGGATTTCAACATGGTAGAATATGGTAAACTGATTGCTAGCTGCAATCATCATTGCATTTGCCAAAATGTTTAAAGTTGAAAAGTGTGCATTTTTTTCCAGTGTTAAAATACCATTTATAAGTTAAACATCCTTCCCAGCTAAACATAGCAACATTGCTTAATAGTGTTAGTTTTGAAACAGCGCTACTAGTTTTTTAACCAATAGCAGGCAGGGAGAGCATTTGGGAAACCTGTTTGAAAACAATCATTTACTCCGTTTTGCACTTCAGCTAATAAACAGCTATGCGTGGGATTTAGATTTCGTGAATGACAGGTTTTGCTGAAACCTGAAAAACGTTTTACCCTTTTTATTTTGCTTTTTATTTTGCTGGAATAGATTCCATGTGGATAAGGGAAAACACTTCATAATTCAAATTCCTCATTGATACATCCATGAGATGAGAATAAATGAGAATACATTAAGAGCTGAACCAGTATGAGTCCCATCAAGGCCTTATTTTTCTTTCTCTGCTAACAATTCTTCTCTGAAACTCAACTGTAATTACCTCTCCACGAACAAACCAAAATGTAAAAAAAGACGAGTATGATTAAAGTTTTACGGTATTTTGGCCCCCAATGAGGCATCTAACAGAATACAGATGTGCTGCAGGGGGCCTAACACTAACCAGCCATTCCAACGTTTTTTTGACTTGTGCTGCTTGTTGTCAACACAGCTTTCAGTGGTCTAATGACAACGGCCAGCCTTCACCTTTTTACACACACTATCTGCAACGCAGGCGATTCTCGTAAGCTACTCCCAATAAACATGCGGTTGCTGCTTTATGAGGTCGCAATTGATGCTAAAAACGGACTGGAACTGCAACAATAGAGCTGTTAGTAGGTTGTGATTACGCTTTTTGACAACCAAATGTGTCCTGACACTTAATTTCAACAAACATCTGTGGTAAAGTTGCAGTATGAAAAAGCTCAGCTCACACCTCATCTGATGCAGACTTTTATTGTTTGGTCTGATTTAGACAGATGTTGGAGAACCCACACTACAGCAAGTAAATACGCTTTGTGTAACTTGCATCCAGCAGTTTTACACCATTTGGTTTGAAGATCAGTTTAGAGCTAAACCCCAAAATGTATCAAAGCTTTTGAAATGGTTGCCACCAATAGCATATTTTTCTCATTCACACCTTCCTTAATCTCACTATTCAATGATCCTTTGTAGGGGAGTGGAGTGTTGAGGGCAGTTTGGACAATTTTGGACTCAGAGCAAAGACTAGTAAGGCTGGCACAGGTTATTAGGGAAGGGTTCAAAGAGGTTCTGTTTAATGCAGTGTCTCTAGGCTGTTTTCACACGTGGTTTGATTGCTTGTTCTGAACCTGAGTTTGATTCCACTCCCCTTGTCCTGCCTCCACTGGTCTCTTTTCATGCTGTACTGGGTTTGAGGTAGTATGTGTAGTATAGGGGTGGCCAACGTCAGTCCTGGAGAGCTGCTCCAACCTTGATAAAAACTCACCTGCCTGTAGCTTTCTAGTAACCATGTGACCTTGATTAGCTTGTTCAGGTGTGTTTGATTAGGGTTGGGGCTGAACTCTGCTGGACTGTGGCTCTCTGGGACCAACGTTGGGCACCGCTGGTGTAGTAGTAGATCCCCAGCATCTGCCCAAATCATTAATGAGACTACCACTGTGAGTACTATCAGTTAACAACTCAGAACAAGATGATGCCAATGTTTCATTCTCCAAAGGCAATTTATTCTGAGACAAGCTGCACAGAATACTAAAATGCTACTCCTAAAATGTGACTAGGTTATCAACAAAGCATAGGTAGCAATTCCTGCTCCTGGTGGGCTACAGCAGAGTTCAGCTCCAACCCTAAACAAACAAACCTGAATGTAATAAAGGTGTTCAGGATTACTTGATGATATAGGGCAGGTGTGATGTAACAGTAAGGTAGACCTCCAGGTGCAGGTTTGGCTACCTTTGCAACAGAGGCTCAAAGATTCAATTTAGCATGGATTGGGTTCGTATTGACTGTAAATAATACCAGTTCACATGACTCAAACCAGATTTTCCAAGTAAATATGGACTGCGATTTGCTAGAGCACACCACTGTTCAGAAGACCATTTGAACACCAACTAATTGAAGCAAGGACCAATGTCAAACAGAAGCCTGCATTAAAATATCTAGTGCAGGAGCGTCCAGTTGTGCTCATGGAGAGCAATTGTCCTGTTAAGAAAAAAATTCCAGATGGGTGGGATGGGGCAAGTTGGAGCTAAAATCTGCGTGGCAATGGCCCTCCAGAAGAAGGATCAGAAACCACTGATCTTGTGAGAAAGACTTCATATACAGAAAGGAAATTCTAATTTGTGTATACATTCCATTGAGTGACGAAATCCTACTGGGTTTGTCTTTGTGTGTACACAGTGCACCAAAATGTAATTGCATTGAGATATTAAATAAATCTCATTTTGTTCCCATGGCCAGATTCAATTTTGAAGACTTTACAAACATTCCTAATATTCATAACAATACACTCATCATTTCTTAGAAGAATATACAACATGTTGACACAAGTGGCTTAAGAAAATTAGCATTAAAGCCATGTTTGTCTGTAATGTGAGAGAACACATAAAGCAGAAAGCTCCAGTGTTTAGATACATGACTGAATTATAACGAGGGATAAAAGTTGACCGCAGGGCTGGCGCGAGCTTTCAGCTGAACAACTTGCTGTGGTACGTGCCTGAAACCTCATCCGACACGCATGTGAAACCGTCACTGGCCTATTTACACGGGGTGAACCGCTAAGCTTCTCAGCCTCCAAATCTGACACTTTTATTTTTGCCTTCCCCAGCCCCTCCATCCCCCTGCTTTATTTCCCTCTGTCTCTTGCTCTGCGCAAAACAAATGTTTGTGAAAGAGTGGCGGCACACGGTCTTACCAGAAATAGAGTCGATGGATGGGAGTGTGGTCTGGCACAACATGAAGTGATAGCCATTAAAAACCTCAGAGACTTCATGGCTCAATGGCGGAAGACGGTAGTGTGTGTGAGCGCATAAGGGAGTGTGATCTGTCAGACCTTGACATAGACCCAATTCTGGGTTTTGTCGTTCTGCTTTCTGGGCTCATATGGCCCTCAATGTGCCTGTATACAACACAGTTGTTGCTTTGCCAGAGCTGTCACACCCATCACATTAGCTAAGCTGACTTACATGTTAAACATTGGCAGCAATTCTCAAAACTTTCATCTTGTCACACAAAAAGAACCGTTTGGAGTACACGAGGAGATTGAGGCTACTCCGGCAGGATGGAGCAACTTTGAGGCAAAGAAGTCTGGAGGTATGGGTGGTCCTGTTTAGCTTGTCAGGACTCCTTGTGAGGCTTCGACAGACTTTCCTCAAACTATGCCACCTAGGAAAAAACAGGCATGAACGCTTATTAAGTGATTTGTTTGATAAACAAATTGATTAGTCCGGATGGGTGAGCATACAGCTGGTTGAAATTTGCTCTCACTCTATCTGGGAACGTCTTTCCTGTGTCTCGAGTACTTTCAGAGGTAGCTATCAGCCATGATGCTCTGCTTGGCTGTGGCTGTGTGTGCATTATACAGCAATTTTCTAAGGGGTCAACTGAAATTTCGGTAGATAATTTAAAGGATGATTTGTTGAAACTACTAAAATTGGATTTGGGGGCCTATAGGCCACTTTTGGCACTGAACACATCATGTGTGTATGATTACCTCAGCGGAACAATTTCTGTTTAAGACTGTCTGTTTGGCATCAGGTGACATTGAACTCTCTGACTACATTATATTCTTGTTTGAAAACACCATTTTGCGTTTTAGTAAACATGTCAAACTCAAATAATTTGTGCACTGATTGTACTATGAGGCCCTCAAATGATACTAAGGTCTAACAACATACCGTTGAGCACATTTTCCACTTCAATAGCAACTCTAACCATTTTATCTTTGGCAATTGTGTATAAATTCACTTGTACTATGACATGTTTGTTGCCACAGGAGGCAAAAGGAGCTTAGAGCGCATTCATATCTTGGCTCCGCTTTCAAAATGTTTTGACGTGTTTGGAGACCATACAAAAGAGAGATTTCTGTACATGAGCGGTAAAAACCAGCAGCCAGAGAGATCTGAATCCCAGCTGCTGTGCAAAGAGATCTCTCACTTTTGTTTTCACCATGAGCTCTTGAACGCACACACATGCATACTCATCTTTATGAATTCACCAGATTCTCTTCTCTCTGTTAAAGTCATCAATGTGTTGGACTGCAAATGAACCAAACCACTTCTTTTGTCCTTCCACAGGAGACTCTCGGGCAACCACCTGAGACACATCCCTGGCCCCGTGCTCCAAGGCCTCTACAACCTCAAAGTCCTGTAAGTAACGAAAGACAGAAAGAGCAAGAGTGTTTTTGTTTCAGTTAATGCTTCTGTGGAAAATAACATTCAGGGTGATTCATTCTGAAAAAAAAGACTTTTGTTGCAGTGTCACACACTGCGAAACTAGAAACAGAACTTCTGACAGGTGATGATTCAGGTTTTGCTTTGCGGTGAATGGTCACTGAGCTGTTCTTTATGCATGGGTGTTTGTTGATGGTTTATTGACAGATTTTAATTTTATTGACTTACTTAAACCCAGTTGATGGAATTGAACAGGACAGACAAAGACCAGGCATGGAACAACTTCATTCACGCCAACATGCATCTCAAAATTTCCACATAGGATTAAGTGCACCTTTCCATTCCGTCCTGGAAGCTACAGCAAATGTGCCTTGTATTGTCATTCAACAATACAGTGACATTGTTTTTCTTCTTTTTTTTTTTTTTGCACACCACAAAATAATTAAAATTAAATTGCCACATTAAATAATTTCATAAAATGAAAAAAAAAAACTCTTATTCATATCTTCATTATGTGCCCATACATTTTCAGTAACTGTACCTGTGTTGTTAAAAATGCTTGCTTTACCTGTTTCTAGATTTACATTTTAGTAGGTTAATGAGAACATGAATTTAATTTAGTTCAGTTTAATATTTAATATCCTTTCCCTTGTATAGAAAACAACATAATTGTAATCGTCAGAGATCTTATTTCAGTGGTCAATGTCGACAAAAAGGGATTGGGTTGGGTATAACAATAGTTACAAATTTTCTTTGTTTGCTTTCTGTTCCCTGTTGTGTTTTGTACTATCTTATTCAACAACCGAACTTGTCTGAGGCACGAGTACCTGACCTCCTGACATTTAAACTAATGTTCAGTTTTCAATAAGCCAGACGGAATCACATTTAAATATGGAATCACATAAACCAAAACAACATGAAAAACATAATGAAAATGTAACATCAAAAGCATCTGTTAGTGAAAATATGACAAAACTGAAAGTGCAGGGGGGGATAAATACGTACTTTGTGTCATTTGAATGACAAAATAATAGAGGCTTGTTCACAACATCATAAAGACTTCTGGATATTTTATGTCTAGATTCACAATGGCTATGGTGGCACCATGATTTCCTTGATAAGGGCATCCTGCCCACAAAGGCGTATTTATTCCTTCAAACACTAGCAATTCTCTGCTGCGTGGTCAAATGTCAGGAGTTTCATTTGATTGGACATGATAAAGCTGTCTGCCTTGTAATTAAAGCTCAACGTCTGTGGCCGCGTGCTCTTGCGTTGGAATAATTTGCTTTGTTCAAAGAGCTCAGTGTCATTGTTCTACCACTTCCTGTTTCTTTCGTTCTTTTATTCGACGAGTCCTGTGAGCATGACCTCAGTGGCCCACCCAAGCAGTTTCTCCCCCTCATTCTGTTTCCTCTTGTTCAGTCTCTCTGCCCCTCCCATGTTCTGGTTTTGTCCACTGAAAAGTGCACCACACAGTACCTGAAATCATATCTCCTGACTGATTGATGTCAGCGACAGGTAACCTCATCAGCATTAAGCTGGACAACTCTTGTGCCCTGGAGCCATACTGACATGCTCTATTTAAAAAAAGGCCTTTTTAGTCTGTTTTTTGATAAGTGTTAATGCTCAACTATACCACCCAGGAAACACATATGGAACTGACTAGTGGTGACTTTTTTCTATACATTTCGTTAATACAAAGAGAAGGCCAGCCATTGCCACTACTAGTATTATCTGTATTTTTTTTTTTTTACAATCGCATTTAGTGTTTTAAAATATTTAATTTTCACCAGAGCAGAATTTATTACCTTTCTAATTTTAATTTATGGTATCTTTGCAGGATGTTGCAGAATAACCAGTTAGAGAGATTGCCCAGTGAAGACCCTTGGGAATTACCCAATTTGCTCTCTCTGTAAGTATCACATAGTTCAAGTGATCAAAAGCAAACTTGGGCTGTTAAAGATTTACATGAAACAATGGTGTATATTAAAGCAACACTGGATAGGCTGACATGCCAAGCGCAGACCTCCTGGCTGTGACCACAGCTTCAAGCTTAACAGCTGGAATAAAATGGATACACTTGATTCAAAGATTGGTCTCATGTGAAATGTTATTCCGCTTAGAATATGATCCCATTGTACAACAAAATAAATCTAAATGGAAGTGGAACTGTCCAGGAACTTTTATATTATCAGGAATTGTGTATCAAATATTACATCATAAGCACAGCACACAATAAACGATTTAGCACCCCTCTATCAGATAAGGTCTCTAGCAGTAGTTATTTGGTCTACAGTGCAATCTAGTCATGAGGTAACTCTTGGCATTTCTCTCTATTAGAGTTGATGCAGGAAAGCCCAGTTATTTATATGCCTATTAGGACCATTAGGCCCTTCATTAAAGAACTCCCCACCAGGGAGGATCAAGTTTGCAATTTAGGACACACATGATAGTGGTAAAACAGGTGTTCTTTGGCTGTATAATAGTGAAACAAGTAGAATTTTTTTCAGAAAAATGTCTTCTTTTTTTTTTGGGATTCTCGATCACAAAAAAATGCCATGCAGCTCTTTGCAGAGGAGATCCAACAAATAAAGAACCAAGAACGAGTAACAAAATGCATAGTAGTTCTTGTGTGGTCTGTGCAATTCAGCGCTTAAAATTAATACAGTTTTGAAAATGAATTCAATGGATCTGGATTTGTACTTTTTCCCTAAGAGCTATTAGCTAAATGCTAACTCACAAGAGAGACAAATATGATATTCTTCTTGAGGAAGACAAAACGTGACTACGTCACATTTAATATCAGAACGGTGAAAAAGAGGGCTGTTGGCGCATCTGGAACCCATGAGGAAACCGCCAGACACTGTGCACTGGCTCCTGAGTGAGCGCTGGGAGATTCAATGAGCTGTGAAGAGCCCAATTTTCCATCAGTTACTCTTCCCTCTTCCCTTATGTCCGAAGTTTCCCTCCTAATCGGAATCACGCCCCCTTCCTAACTGGTTCCCCATGAAAAGGTCAGAATCTAAATATTGTCTGGTATTTTGTCTGGCCTTGTCCATCTGCTCCACTTACATCCACCCCTCGACTCCTTTCAATTATTCCCGATGCCAGTCAGCATCCTGGAGCGGAGCCGCACACCCACTTTTTCCAAATGAATAATTCCATGTAAATATCCATGCGCTCATTTCCTTCTACTTTTGCGAGGATATTTTCATTAGAGTCATGGCATACAGATTTAATTCCTTTGCCACCAACAAAGTTTTTTTTCCACATGGAAGATGTGCCTGGTTCCAGAAGAGGCTCCAGACGTGCATAGACTGTGTCCAGGCCCTCCCTCTAGTGAGGCAGAGACTCTGGCATTCGTCCAGACAACTTACGCTCACTTTCAATTCCCCATAACAAAGAATATGCAGTGATTTAGCTAGGTGCTCTATCCTGAGTTCCCACAAGAGTATAAAGGCATTTAGTTCTCAACAAACATGTAATTTAGGGTAATGATAAGATGGGGATCGGCTAACCACTGGGGGGGGCTATAAGGTTTGAAGTCCACTGGCGCCCGATGTAGACAGAGGGAAGATGAGTTGGGGCAGGACAGAGGATTGGTGATGAAACTCATCTTTGTTTCTTTACTAGAGTTTAGGTCTGTAGGCTATACTTGCTACACTCAGCACAGAGCATCCTTTGATGTCAAGACCATCCATCCAGGATTTAATCTATGAAAGAAAGATCTGATAAAAATCCAGTAAAAGCTGAGCAACAAGACTCACCTTCCTTAAATCAGAGGCAACGCAAAGCCTTTTGATCATATGATGCCTACCAATAAGATTCCACACAAAAGGGACCACGTAAGCAATGTTTACACATTCAATTTCAAGTCTTAAGCCTATCAAGCCAGATGATTGAGGCGTCGTCAGCAAGATGTTGGTGTTTACCTAGCAGGGTTGCACAGCATGGAAAATGTAGTCTGAGAATACGGGGCGTTTTTCAAGCCAAATGGCAGTGTACTTTGGGTTCAAGTTCTTCTTCGATTGATGCTCGTCGTGCATTACCCTCAGCTGAAGGACTCGAGGGTTGAGAAGACCAGAGGGGAGGTGAGGAGAGGCCAGTGTAAAATGAATGTGTGTTAAAGGTCAAGGGGGAAAAATGCAGAGGAAGTGCTTGCGGCTAACTCCACATGCTCTGCTGCTATCATACATCACGACTCACTGATCGCTGAGGTTCAACCCCCCCCCCCCCATCCACTGAATCCAGGGGGCAACATTCATTAGATCAAAGTCTTAACTTGTTGACATAGGGAGGACATTCGTCTTGGTTGTGGAGATGTCAAGGTCTGTGAACAACAGCCTTGCAAAGAAATGTGAAAGAATCCAAACGTCAGCACTTTCAATTATTTCCAGCAACCTCTGATGTTTTTTTTTTTCCACAGCTTTTATCTTTAGCTCAGTTTCTTTGTTTAATTTCCAAAAATCAGAGAGAAAAACTGTTCAATAGCATCTTAAAGCATCCCAGTCAGTGTGGAGCAACAATTGCTTGGTGGCTTTAACCAAATCAACTCACCATGCCGCAAAGCCATCAAATTATCAGTCGGTGCTTTATTACACCATATGAGCACAAGCAAAATGAAAGAGGAATGGCCAATTTTCGAAACGCCTTCATGTGGTTGGATCGAGAGTGGAATCTTTGCCTCGACAGCCCATGTACGCCTGGATTGTGATTGCACAACTTTTCTTTGTATCCTCTGAAAGCCACTTGTTGTGATTTAGCACCCTTTCTCTGAATGCTTTAAATTGAAAAACATAAAAACCCACAAAGCATAGCACTCCACCTGTGGGCTCCCAATGCTTCATCAAACATTCAGAGCGGTGACCGTGCCAAATCTCTCATTAAACAAGTCCATGCTGGAGTAACTAAAGCTAGCTTCATAAAACACTTGCATATAAATCGCCTGGGGGGAATCTAAATCACTCAGGTAGTGGTGCCAATTCACACACTAGAAGAACAAAAGACAGAAACAAAGAGGCAACAAAATTATGCTTTAATTATGATATTGTCAAAGCAGAAATGTTGTGACCGCAGACCACAGCATGGTATCTCTTTCTGTTTAGCCACAATTGGTGGCTCCTTTGTTCATCTTTTTTATGTACCTCTGTAAGGCATGGCAGTTCGATTAATAAAATGAAAGAGGTAGATTCCGTGACAGGACACTGCACAGACAAGGAGTGTTGCAGTTGACTGGGTCACAAACATTGTGGGGCTGGTGTCACGCCAGGTCAGGCCTCAATAAAAAAAAAGCTAGAGGAGAAAAACAAGTATATTTTATGAAGGGTGGGTAATGCACAGTATCTAGTTAACACAGGTTCAGAAACTTCTGTCAGTAATTCATCTACATGGAAAGAATATACTACCTGTCCTGTAATTGCTCATTTTCACTAATATCTCCTGCTAATTTGACTCCTGGTGACCTGGTTAAACATAACTGACTGTATTATCTCATAATTTTCTGCTACATACATAAACTGTGTACGGGAATAAACATCTGCTTCTGTTCATTCTAATAAAAACAGGCGTCTGGATGCCAACCTGATTATGGAGGTGCCAGCAAGGACCCTCTCGGGTATGCGGTCCCTGCGGCACTTGTGGCTTGATGACAATGCCCTGACAGATATCCCAGTAAGCGCCCTCAATGACCTCTCTTCGCTCCAGGCTATGACCCTTGCCCTAAACCGCATCACCCACATCCCAGACTATGCCTTCAGGAACCTTTCCAACCTGGTTGTGCTGTACGTATCTACTTCCACACAACATGAATAAACCAAGTAGGATGTATTCCTGGATCAATTTTTGGGTGAACTAACCCTTTAAAGCCCCTAACCCCAATCTTAAATGTTTTACCCTAACCCTTGATCTATTTGACTAAATCACACTAACTATAGTGCTTGTGTCAGTATGAGAAAGGGAAGCCATGAAATAAGAGGAAGTTGGAACACATGTCTTGGTTTGACAAAACACCACAAGAATCTTAAACTCTTTCAATTACAAAGCAGTGGAATGATAGTGTGGATTAATTTTATATCTCATCCACCACCGGTTTACATTCATTTGAAGCAATGTACACAGTCAAGCAGGTGTCATTCCTGGGGTATGTTTTGATGTTTACTATAATCCTAATGAATGTTTTCATGTTTAGGCATCTTCATAACAACATGATCCGGACCCTCGGACAGAACTGCTTTGAGGGACTGCACAGCCTCGAGACCCTGTAAGTAAGACCGTCCCCTCACGAAAGATTAAAAACATGAAAGCATTTCCTGTTTTTAATGCAAACAAACCCTGATCTGTTATTTGATTTTGGCGTCCTCTTGCAATAATTATGGAAGGGGCTGCGTCTATAAATATAAATCAAAATTACTAGCAAACTTGCCTGACTCTACTTATGCTCAGTGGTTCAGCTTTGTATGAACTACAAACAAATCATTCTTTACACAATACTTCTGCTGTTGAGATACGCACATGTTAATTGCAGTACCTTGTTTTATTAAAAACACTCTTACCTCTCATTAAAATGAAAGAATGAACGTATGGCAGCCTTTCATTTTCTGTGATAGAAACAACAATAATGTCCTGACAATGACTTCAGTGTTGGGTGATTTATTTAGTGTTCCATACAAAAGTATACAGTGATTTTTAGGGGAACTTTGTGGTTTTAGTTATCATGTGGCTGATAATTTTTTTATATGCTTCCATTAGTCCTTTTGCGTCATATATATCATAGGGTCATAAAAGTGAGTGGGAAATGTAATGGGACAAATTTTATTGTCTGAATACTTTTTTTTATTATGTGTGGTTATGCATTCTATCACTACACTTTTTTTGGAGCAATGTCAATAGCATGACCCTTGTTAGAGGTGGTTGAATTTATATTATATATTTTATATAATTTTACTTTAACTTGAATGCAATTTACCTGACAGTCTGCATGTAAACCATGATGAAATTAATAATAATATGAATATGGACAAATTAACATACTAGTAAAAATACAGAACATCTCATTTCATGACTGCTGGTTACAATTTTCATATCATAGCTGAACAATAGTACACATTATCTGCTAGAATTCAGGCTATATACAATACTGAACATGGTAGATTGAGATCAAATGTTAAATAGGGCCAATAAATACACTAGAAATGCTATTAAAATTCATGAGAAATTTTGAAAGGGGCTTACGAACCAGAGCCAATGCATATTTGTAATGTAATGTATGAAATACATTACATAGACCATGCTATGAAAGTTTGGCTTTAAAAGACTAAGCATATGCTGAAGTCACGGTGGTCTCCAGGATACCGAAAGGTTCACACCTGCTTTTTAACAGCCTGCTGAAGTGCTAAAGATGATGTTTTCCTCTTTACGAGAAGGATTTCAGTCTTGAGAATTGCATACACTGAACTGAAACACTTCATTTGAAAGCAATCACTGAGAAACCGTGCGTTGAAACTCTCCCGTGGCGATTCTGTGGCTCGATAAATTTGGCTTTTGGAAGATTTGTTTCAAGGAGAAAATATTTAAGCTCTTGAAAATGACAAAAATGATACAAGGCTAGAGTGATAGGAAAATTACTTATGAGATATATATATATATATATTTGGGCTGAGGGGGGTACCTTATGAATAAAACAATTTGAAAAACATTTCTATTGGGGATAAAGTTTAGGAGTCATTTGTACATTAAACTCTTTTGTATAACAAGAAACAAGAATAAGTCACCTGTTAGTATTTTCTAAGTATCAAGCATGTATGCATTACAATTAAAATCCCACACTATTAAAAAAGCTCCCAGAAACTGTAATATGTAGTCATGTTGCATATCGAATAACATTTTAATTACCGTTATAATGATGGCTAAGCAAGAAACTAATCTTCCTGAGGCAAATATTCTTATATGTAACATGACACACTGGAAGAAATCATGCCAGCTGTCTCAATTCAGTTGCACATGTGTGTTTGGGAAGTGTTGAGCTTCTTGAAACAACAGATGGAAACATGTTTGCCTTCTTTAGGAGGTCTCAAACATCTTTTCGTGGGACAATGTGCATCTTTTTATTGATGCTACTGTAATCCCCATCACTGTAATTATCTCTGAAAACGCATTCACAACCATCAGACAAAGTGGCCACCACAGTGTTGTTTTGTTATGATGCCTGATGATTTAGCTTTCAAACAAACTTCTGCGTGGTTTGACGAATTGTAAATCGAGGTACCTGACAGCTCCCATTCTAAACAATGAGGTCTTCCCAGGAAATGAAAGGCATTCCTCTTCTCTGCTATATCAAAGTAATGTCTCCAAACAAGACTGACGGATGTTCTAAACAAAACCAGGATGTAGACATGGCAGAACCACGCGGCACGGCTCGCCCACAGCAGCGTGTTCCCAGTCTCTCCATATGCAGCCCATTTTATAGGCCGCAAGCGCAAGTGGCTTTCCATGCAGTGTTTGAAGAAAATTACTTAAACACTTACATGACTCACTAGAAGTGAGCGAACTAATGAATAAAAAGATGTTGATTCACATTCATATAATCTAAATGGCTCATGTTGTTTAAAAGTGCTACTTTTAAAAATAAATTCTTTATTGGCATTGATGGTTCCATGATAAACCTTCACCATCCATGGAACCTTTCCATTCCACAATGGAACCTTTTTTCCACTATTTTTCATAGTGGAAAAAAAGGTTCTTTGAATTATTAAAGTGGTTGTCACACTATGAAACAGTGGTTCTTTTAAAGAAAGGTTCTTTGGGGAACTAAAAATGGTTTTTCTATAGCATCGCTGTGAAAACCCCTTATTGGAATCTTTACTTTTAGCATTTACAAGTAAGCCATTCATAGGTTGACGCCTCTGTGGTGCTTCCCATCCAGCCAGCCAACAATGGTTCAACCAATTCATAAGTTTGGGGCGTAGCTATCTTTGTGTTTGAAAATGTGCTATTTTTGCAATTTGGTTGGTGATGCTAATGGTGCAGAAATACTCCAGCTTTAAGCGAATTTGTCATATATCAAGAATCTCCTGAAATATCTTTTTTTCTTTTCACATCAAACTTAGGCCAAGTTTGCTTTAACACTCTTGTGCAACACAGACACACTCACACACACATAGACACACACATGTACACCCACACACTGGAATTAAGCAAGTGCTTCGCCCATTCTGGATGGCGGCCAACGCGGGTCCACCCCTATTTCACCAAGCTTACTTCAAACGCACTGGCTACCTGCCAGAAACATTTTTTTTTTCTGTTTTCAAAAAAAAAAAACTAAAATATATAAACATTTGGACTGTTTTGAAAGTGTACACTTAACACTAAAGGATAAGACATATAATTATGGGTATGACGAGACACATTGTGCATTGGGTATTGTAGCTGTGGGGAGCGGACGATATGACTAAGACCTGGGCCTTCACGAGGGGATACAAGGCCAAAGGCACCTATTAATGCCGCCCAGTTGGCTTTACTGGGCAAAAAGGAGGGTTTGTGGAAAAAAAAGTCTCCTGTTCAATTATAGGATTTTCTCAATAATTATTCTCTGAAAAACTCCAAAAGAATCAGAGATGAAAAGGAACGCTGAGATCCGAGGAAAACAACATGCAAACTATGGCCATAAACACATTGTTCTTGCACCTGCGTCTAAAGGCCGCTCGTCCCTAAGCAACCGCCCGTGTTTTGGTTCAAGCGCGGTTTTTGGACGCAGGTTTCCTAGAAGGCTAATGAAATGCATACAACAAAAATAATGTATGCAGAGGAGAGGTCACGCCATGTCAGATTAGCTTAGAACAGCTGTCTTAGTCTCCAAGGAACGACCAACACGGAAAACCCGCAAGGTCACAGGGAGGGATTTTGACTGATTGGAACCACAGTTCTTAAGTGTTTGCTTATGTTACAGACACGTAGAATGAAAGATCAAATAAAAATGTCAAAACAATTGGGCTAATATGTGACGAGACTGCTAATTGTTGTTCGAAAGGTGGTCTTATGCAAGACGCAAATTAGACATAGCTGTGCTTATTAAGTCATTTGCACGTAGAAGATCTTTTTCTCTTAGCTTGTGTTTCTCAAAGTTCTTCTGCTCTTATGGTTGGTCTGCTTTCTCTAGGGAATTGAACTTCAATGACCTTCAAGAGTTCCCCGTGGCCATTCGCACACTCGCCAAGCTTCAGGAACTGTAAGTAACCGAGACTAACTTACCCGGCATACATGCGTCAGTGTGCTTCCTTTAAAGTGCACCGCTTGGCCTGGCCTCGTGCTCCTTGTAAATCCCGCTTAGTCCCTAGAATGTGGTTCTCAAGCACAAGTCTCCTGAAAAAAGCAGATGCTTGGAGATGAGCTCTTAAGTCCTTCCTTCTCAAGTATCCTAAATTGTTTTCTGCCTGTGGGACTGCCTCCTGACAGGTGTTTCTGTAAGATACAAAGGATGTTTACATGGGCAAATGTGAATTGACGCAACCAAATGGCTCACACGTGTGCTTATGGAGGAGTTTGAGATAAAATGCAACTGGACTAGATTGTCCAAGGTGATGAATTAATTTTCGGCACCCAAAAAGGACCTTATAGCCTTGTTTATTTAACACGTGTAATTATTTTAGACTGTTTAGAATTTTCAGATTACAATTGGCTGGCAACGTGTGTGCCATAAATGAACTTTAGCATGTTATATTCATAGTGACGGCAGATGATGATGAATTATAAGCTGTTGCAGTAGTTGAATGTGCGGCCGCTCCGAATAGCACGTCAGCACTACAATTTATAGGCTATACGGAACAGATGCAGTTAGCAAAAGCACTCCGCAAAGCTGTTCTTGATCGCTGGATTTCCTCATCCCATAGTGGATTGTATTCAAGTGTGCAGATGGTCATATTCTCACTCTCCATGCATCTTACAGGGGTTTCCACAACAACAACATTAAGGCCATTCCCGAGAGAGCATTTGTGGGGAACCCACTTCTGCAGACCATGTGAGTATCTTGTCTCAGCAACTTCTCTGAGCTTCTCTGTTGACTAAACATGCCTCACTGTGTGATAGAAAGACATGTTATAAAAGTCTGTTTATCTCAGCCAATGGACCAGGAAATGTGCGACAAATATTTGGGTCGTTTTACAAACGGGTGCCTTTTTTGCCCTCCCTGTAGTACCAAATGTATTGAGTTGTATTCAACAAAATGGACATGGAAGTATGTAAAGGGTGTAATTTTATATATTGAACCACATATTTTATTACATTTACATTTAGCAGATGCTTTTATTCAAAGACACTTACAAATGAGGACAATGGGGGAAAAATTGTGTTGCTTTTTTTTAGCAAAAGTTACGATGGTAAAAATGTTGGCATTAAAGATTTTTAAACATAGAAACAGAGATAAAAGCAAACGCAAAATTAGTTTTATTTTGTCTATGTTTATGATTAGATTTTCATTGACAATGTGTTTAAAATATTTTTAAACCTTTTTTTATGCTTTTAAGAGTGTTTCCAGTTCACATGTCAATCCTGTTACCAACATAACTACCTATTATTAAAGTAATGTACTATTCCATAGATTAAAAATAATAATAAAAATAACACCTTTTTCACACTCTACCCCTGTTAGAAAATATGTAAATTTTTTAATATAATAAATGTATGTCAAAAGATGTCATTCAATCTACTGAACAGTACTTAAAAAAAATGCGATAGTTATGATAGTAACAGAGTTGGCATAAAATTATTTATAAAAAAAAAGGAGAGATAAAGGCAAAATTAGCTCTATTTTGTTGTTTAAATATGGTAAAAAAAAGTTATCTGGTTATGTCAACCCTGTTACCAATTTATTTGGTTTTACATTTCAGCCCTGTTACCAAGATTTTGAATAGCAAAAAAAATGATTTTTTTTAGTTAGAAATAGTTTGAAGAAATAATAACATTACACACAAAAAAAAATCTCAGTAGCTAAATTAATTGTAAAATTGTCATCCCTGTAACTGTACAGTACAACAAATAGTTACATCTCAGCATACAGCATATTAGCTTTTATTCATTTAGATTTAATTTGGATATGGCACTGTCATTTATTAACGCTTAAATACAATCTTTCCTGAAAGAATGTAAATATCCTTGTCAAAATGGAACAGGCACTCTTTTAGAATGATCTATCCAGTTTCTAACAAAATATGTATTTTTCTTCTCTGTTTAGTCATTTCTACGAGAATCCCATTCAGTTTGTTGGCAGATCAGCATTTCAGTTCTTGCCAAAGTTACACACGCTGTAAGTACAAGTCTATGTGTGAAATGATAACACACACATGATTAAACAGAGCAGTTTGGCTTCCGATAAGGCACCACTAAAGTACCAGTTGGCAAATGTGTATAATTTCCATTTCATCATTGCTTTCATTTTGATGAATACTGTAATCTTGCTCGCCTCTTGCCATCACGTCTCTCATAAGTAAACATTGAACTAGTAATTTGTCTCCAAAAAAACAGCACAATTCAATTATAACCTCATAAATGCCAAAATATGAGATTTAGCTTTTCAAAAAACTAATAAAACGTCATTTATCTCTCTCCAATTGCACAGACAGTGCATATGAATGCTGTGAGAGTCTATTCAGCCTTCATTATTTTGATATGAAGTCTTCCGTTGTTGATTTTGGGTAGTGTTGCGAGTGTAATCAAAATGATGGAATCAAGTGGAATAATATTGCCTCTAGATGATGGAGTGCTAAGTGTGTACGGTAACAGTAGACATCCCTGTGGTTTTGCTGGACGACATCTTCATTAGCAGAACGATCCTCACTGATGAGTTATCTAATCTCGTTTCAGCTCTTTGAACGGGGCCACTGAGATCCGAGAGTTTCCAGATTTGAAAGGAACCACCAGCCTGCAAGTTCTGTGAGTCTGAGATCAAATGTCCCCATTTCACGCAGGATCAGTTTCACTTAAGAGACTTCCAGAAGTTCTTCCCACCGATGAGGACAAAGGAATAACCGTTGACAAAATAGAGATGCGTTTACTGAACTCTCACCATGTCAGCGAGTTTCGTACAAAGTTAAAAATGATGCAGGGCGAAGGCATACTGAGCCGAGCACTTATGTTTACTGGTGAATGATCGGTTAACATAAAGCCCTGTATATAATTACTGATCCTAAAGGAGTGTTAAACCGTTCATTAGAGTTATAGGAGAAGGGTTTTGAAACGGGTTTTGGTCGCGCACCAATCTCACGTCATTGTTGAGGGCTGTCTATGGGCTGGTTGGGATGCTCAAACGAAACAAAATTTTGATAATGCCATTGTTTATTAACAATTTTAAGGGAAATCATTACATCTTCACCTATACAGCTTGGGTAGAAAGCTACATTTGCGCCTTGTATTTACCTACAGGTCTGAAACACACTGAAAATACACTTTTTTAAATCAGTTTTAATAAGATTTGTCTAATTTCCATTAAAAAAAATGTCTGGACATCCTTAAAACAAGATGTATTTTGAAAATCTTGAATACTCTATTTACATTAGCAAAACTTGTTCTAGGGATAATTCTCAATTTCTTTTTTTTTCTTACAATCTTTTGCAGTGCATGCACATTCTGTTTCTGTCTCATGTTTGGCACACACACATTCAGTGCAAACTCTTCTCTTTGATTTTCTCTCAGTACGCTGACCCGAGCTGGACTGACCGTCCTGCCATATGATCTCTGCCACCTGCTGCCTAAATTAAGAGTGCTGTGAGTTTCCAGACACAAATATGCTCCTGCAACACACAAACACATTCGAAAGCTCATCTCTAAACGATTCCTATAGATCAGGGCTGTTCAAGGGAGTTCAAATTCACTCTGAGGGATTTGATGTAGCCAAACTTTCAAGGAGTTCCTAAAAGCCTCTTTTAACATGAAGTTCAAAACACATCAGCAGGCAGATATTTAGCCAACTTTACAAAGAGAGCAATGTGATCATTTTTATCAGTTGTGCCATGCTTGTGCAAACAATGTAAAAGTTTAAGAATTAAGTTTTTTTAGATCAAGAATTTTTACTTTTTTGCTTTGCTTTAATCACTCTGTTTAAGATGGATAAGAACAACCACTTAAAGGTAGGCAAGTTCAGTTAGAAAAACCCCTGCAGGAAGAGTGAAACTTTATGTAACTGTTCAAATGAAGAATTAGACCTCTGGGGAAAGTAGCTGCTTAACATGCCACTCTCTCTATATATTCGCTCATTCTCTCTCCAAGGTTTCTTCTTGCATAAACACTTCAATACACTAATTAAGTAAAAATAAAGACAAAAACAAATACTAAAAGTAATGTAACTAGTATGGCAAATTATAATGTAATTCTATAAATAACATTAGGAAATGTTTACGTTTGTTCAAAAACAGTATAAGGGAGAGATGGTGCATGTGTAGAAAAATGGGGAAATTGTAACCCTCATGTGAGATCATGCTAATTTGAACTAAAGAAGCAAAATCATACCATTATTGTCAGATTTTTTACATTTGTCTATACAAACAGTTTGGTCATTTTACATTCAAGTAGACAGCTCTATGAGAAATGACTTGCCTCAATTGGGACTTAATGGGAAATGCTTAGCATTATCATTGAGGCTTATTGTGCAAGTCTCTAATTTGAGCATTGGGTATTGTAACTGTGGGGAGCGGACGATGTGACTAAGACCTGGGCCTTCACGAGGGGATACAGGGCCAAAGGCACCTATTAATGCCGCCCAGTTGCATTTACTGGGCAAAAAGGAGGGTTTGTGGGAAAAAAAGTCTCCTGTTCAATTATAGGATTATATATAGGAAGTGTCCGAACTGCTAAAATAATGATTGTTATATGAAAAAAAAATTTTTTTAGAACAATTATTCTAAAAAATAGAACATTTTGGCCATTCATTTACACAATAATGTTGTTTACATGTTTTTTGAAAACACTATTGTTATTGTCTCCATGTAAACTACAAAATCCTGAATTTGTGAAAACTGTGACTTGATGTGCATGTGTATTAAGTGTTCAGTCTATAGGTATGTATGCAGACACAAAGTGTTTCTTTAACCCTTGTGCGGTTTTCGGTCACTTTTGACAGAAGAATTTTATATTCTGAATATTAAAAAATCGTAGCTTTATTGGAATGGTACGAAACTTGGTGACTTGTACATGAACACACAACAAAAATTGAGGGCATGATTCAAAAAAGCTAAGTACTCGTAAAAAAAACTGTCACACCTCATGGTCTTCGGTCAAAAATGACCGACCATAGGAAATGAATGGGAAATGGCAAATACAGAACATTTTTGTGTGTACAATCTACAAATCCCCCATGATGCAGAAAAAAATTACACAGCAATGAAGGGGTGAAACTCTAAAACATCTAGAGTGCAAAATCAACACACCCACTCACACACGTGCGGACACACACACACCCCACTATGAACTGGTGTGCCTGTAACGCAGCAACTATGTAAAATAAAATCAATAATTCAACTACAATTTAGTAAAAAAAGTTGACAACAAGGAAGGGGTTGCAATCTAAAACATCAAGAGTGCAAAACAGACACATCCACCCACGCACACACACTCGCAGACACACACTCAAATGTATTGGTATGGCTATAACCATATAGCCAAAATGAGTCAGAAAACTGAAATAAGAGGTTAAAATCAGATCAGACCCAGAAGGAATAAGCTCTGATAAAGCATTCCTGTTTATTTTTGTTACATTTTTATAGAATTGTAATGTTTTGTATAAAATGCTTTCTGTATTCAGGTTTGACTGTAGTAATAATCATTCAAAAACTGACACTTCAAATCAACATTTAAAACAACAAAAAAATATAAACCTTGACAAAAAGTAGTCTTTGAGAATGCCTTAATATACATTTAAATCCACAACCTAATCAAAGTAAACAATTATGTATAAAACCAACTAGGGAATTCAAAAGCCTCTCTATAGATTCCTATACAGGCATCTAGTGGTTACACCATGACATTACATGTTTTTATTTCTTTGCTCTCACCAGGAGGTGCTAATCTGCCTTAAAAAAAATTCTAAAAAAATTCTAAAAAATTTTTAAAGGCCTAGTCTCTATTTTAATCAGAGATACTGCATTGATTGAAAAATTATTTTAAAATATTAGAGAAAAAAAATATTGTACTATTTTCAATGGGAAAATTTATAATAATTATTGCATAAATATTAATTATTACCATAAAATTCTCTCAAAATACAAAATAAAAAATATTATTGAACAAAAATATATTAGATTGATTTTACTGAAGAAACAAAAAGTTAAATTTCAGGTGTCCGGTCACTTTTGACCGCGAAGACCATGAGTGTGACTCCCAAATGAGGAGGGTTAAACAAAGTGATATCGCCAACTACTGGCCTAGGCCTGGCATACATAACATTGCATTTTAGCTGTTTTGGCCGATCTTTGTGAACGGAGATGGTTTTTGATAACATTGTCATCTGTACGTGAACAATTTCTAAAACTGTACCGTTTTGAATACATCATTGTCGTGTAAATGTACCCTTACATCAAAATAAATTATACACTTTGTGTATTTCCATATAAATTCATGCTTTTTAAGATAAAGATGTCTTACACAAAAGTTTTACGCATCCTTTACTGACAGCACTCTTCAGTTATGAGGAATCTTCCATTTACAGACAGTCTATATGTGTTTGATTTCAGGGAGCTGTCGCACAACGTCATCGAAGAGCTGCCGAGTTTCTACCACTGTGCCTCTCTTCAGGAGATGTGAGTTCAGGCGTCTCTCTCTCTCTCTTTCTAGTGAAACGGGAATAAAGTAATATCACTAACATATCTGTGATAACTCTAAGAGCCCTAAATAACCCACATAGTAATTGACAAATGACAGTCATTACTGTAGCAATCCATCAGTGTCCATATTTGGGAAGCTTTCAAGTGTGTTCATGATGTCTGCCATAGTGTATGTGTGATGCAGTAATACCAGTTCTTTTGTTTTGACTCGGCAGAGGCCTGGAGCACAATCTGATCAAACAGATTGAGATGAACACATTCCAACAGCTCAGCTCTCTGCGTTCACTGTGAGTACTGTACACACGCTCAGCTGGCCGTAAGCGCCTCTATTTGGCATTTTTCTAATTTAATACACATTTCAATACAAATTATATTAGCAGAACAATTTGAGTGAATTTCATTATCAAAACCCCCTTTTCAAACTACATGATTGACTTGAAAAATAAAGTTCACATAAGAACACATTGTAGCAATCAATTACTGACTTTGATTACTGACCTAAAAATAATTTAATGTATCTTAAATATTTATTTATTTTTTTACTTTCAGCATTAAACTTTCAAACATTATTTTATTACATTTTTTTAATTTTCAAAGTTATCCCTTCTGTATATATATATATCATTTTGTGGAATATTGATATTGTGGCAAGAGCATGCATGTTTTTAATTGAAGCATATAAATAATAATAATAAAACAAAAGTCTTGGCTCACCAATACTTCCCCCTAGAGGCCAAGACATTCTACACAAATTAACCATAAACATCTCCTACAACCAAAACCAAAAGGCACATGCTACAACTTTAAATAATGATTATTGTTAAAAGAATTTGAGAGCAAGACTGTTTTCAGATATCAGATATTGAGAATAATAAAGTATTCAAATTGGCTGTCAAGATCTGAGCAAAAACATTTCTGTTTTTCTGAGAAAATGAGAAATGACAGATGTACGGATGAGTAAATGATTTCTCATTACAGGGATCTAAGCTGGAACAGGATCAACACCATCCACTCTGATGCCTTTTCCTCTCTACAGTCGCTTATTAAACTGTAAGTATAATTTATGCAAATCAGTGGCAATGCATATCATCGGATTTAGCACTGAAGATAAAGATTGCACACCTCAGAGTCTAGATGTCTGTGTAGTCGTACAAAAACTGTTATTAAACTGTGACTTGGCACAACCATCCCATTTACACAAACAAAGAGATTCCATGATGCACACTTTGGAGTCATCTGTGCAATGCTTTGTTTGGCTCAAAGTGAAAAGACTGTGGTTGTAAACACGGTTAAAAGCTCTACACAGCGGTGAAGACGTGCATCGTCAGTCACAGGCGATTAAATGCAAGCAGCATTAGGTAAAGAATGTGATGGATGAATGAGGAAGACTGATATAGAGTGACAGAGTGTGGCTGATAAATGTGCGCAGCGGTGAATGAGCAGAGAGTAGATACTGCAACAGCTATAAACCTCTTGTTTTCCATGCGCAAATTCACTAGCAAACAACATGCATGGAAAAGTCAAATCACTGGTAGAGAAGTCAAAACCAGCAGTGTTTGTTGACAGTTCTGGGCTCAATACAAGTACAGCTCCATCGACAGCATCTATGGCATGCTGTTGATTACCACAGAAAATTATTTTGACTCAGTTGTAAAAACAAGCAAAAATAATTGTATGCGGTAATAAACAGCATGCCACAGATGTTGTCGATAGAGCTTAACTTGTATTGAACCTGGAACATGCAGCGTTTTATTTAAACTGACACATTCTAGCTTTCATCGGGGTTAAAAGTTCAAGGCCCGTGTGCCAAAACATGTCGGTTTAAATAAAACTTTCGCCAATCAAGACATGCTGTTGGATTTACACTCCGTTAAGTATTTGTAAAGTGTCCACAAAAGGTTTTTGGAGTGTTTGAATTCCAAAATTTTAGCAAAATATGAAATCAAGTTGCATTTATTTAATATTTCAAAAAGTGGAATGGAAATACAGTATATTGGATATATTGGCAGATGTCAGTGTAAAACATTTATATTTAATGTGATGAACTGCATATGTGGTTCCTCTGGTAAGACACCTGTGTGAACTTGAGGAGAACTGACTTCATACATCCACTAAAATCATTGACACACCAGCTGATTACAAGTAACTACAAAAATATGATGGTTCAATGTGATGTCTGATGGAGTAACTCATTTCACTTTTATAAATGCTAGAACCTCATGATTCTACTACCATGATTTCCAACCGAAGATCCCCGAAACACAACGTTGGCAAATGTTTAAACTATTTATGTGATGGTACATTATGGGGCATTTTCAGAAGATACTTCATGTGTAGCTCCATCTGCAAGTTTTTAACACATGCTGATCTTCTATCTCCATCCAGAGATCTCACTGAGAACCGATTGAGCAGTCTCCCGCTCACTGGGCTAACAAGTCTCACTCATCTTAAACTGAAAGGAAACACGGCACTCTCGCGTTCCTTCAGAGAGGAGGACTTACCCAACATAAGGTACATTTGTGGTAACCAATAACCCCAAAAAGTCAATCAACTCCGCCATCCCACATAACAGATTAAAACACTTTCATGTTAAACCATCAAAGAAAATTCACAAGTGTATGTGGTTATTAATTCCCACAACACAAATGCCTTGAACAGCTCAAAAACACATGAAGGTTTTGCTTTGTTTTTAGAGAAACGTTCAACTGTTTATAGAATTGACAGTTTCAAGATAATATGTTGCTCAAGGAACATTCTGTTCATTGGTACGAATAAACGGTTTCTGTTTGTTAAATTTCCTAGAATATCTGGCTCAAAGTAAGTAATCTGACAAGCGGAAAGATTATTTCAAGATACCTCAATAGAGAGGCTGTTATAAATACCCGGTCCCAATTCATCAACTGCTCAGGGCTTTGGAGACACTCCAAAACTTCAGTCTTAAGTACTTGCGTGATTTGATTAGCACCTCAAAAATGGGAGATTTCAAGTATTACCATTTCCCAAAAGCAACTGATTAAGCAAAAGCAAATGAAAGAGAATCACGGTTTCAACTGTGACCCAAATACATATAAAATAGTCCTTGCGGTTAGACGTATTGCTAGTTTACTTCATGCGTCATTTGCAGATTGATGAATCGTTCTTTCTCTGATTTCTTCCTCTGAAATGGGATCTTTTATAGTTTTCATATTTCCTCAAACTGATGCAATATGCACTTATTTTTAATGTCCAAACTCCATTTGGCACAACTGAAGAAACAATTGATATAAACAAAATGTTATACATAGTGTCACTATTGTTGAAACAGGGTCATTGAGATGCCATATGCCTATCAGTGCTGTGTTTTTGGAGCCTGCAACAGCTACAAAGCAGCCAGCCAGTGGGAAGAACAGATGGGCAGTGAAGAGGAAGATCTCCAGAAGAAAGCTCTGTCCCTGTTTCCCATTCACACAGACAACAACTGTAAGTCCTACAACCTCACTAGGTCATCCTACAGATCTGGAAACACTATACAATTATGTAACTGTGAAAAAAGTTGCTGTTCCATTTTACATATTACAATTGCTTTTACTTACCAAAGTAATAGCATGGTATTCTTTGGAGTACTGCTACCTGCCAAAAGTTTGGTTATCTGCACATTATTTATTATTACTTTCTTCCACACTGTATTATATTGCCAAAAATTAAGGGGAACCAAAAGCACTGGCTCGCACTGGCCCGACAGTGGAAAAGCGGTTAATGATCTAAACCAGGGGTGTCCAGTCCTACTCCTGGCAGGCCACTCTCCTTTAGAGTTTAGCTCCAAGCCCAAACACCTGAACCAGTTAATCATGGTCTTACTAGGCATACTAGAAACTTCCAGGCAGGTTTGGAGCTAAACTCTGCAGGACACCGGCCCTCCAGGACTGAGTTTGGATACCCCTGGTCTAAACACTGGACTGATGGAGTGCCTTGGAGTACCATGTAAATAAGGGCTTCTCAGCCTTTACCCTCGAGGACCACTTTCCTACAGAGTTTAGCTCCAACCTTGCCTGTAATTTTCTTGTTATCCTAAAGATCTCAGGAGTGTTCGACTTGAACAGGCACTGCGCAGAATGATCAGTGTTTGACAGTCAAAGCAAGAGCTATGATTTCAGTTTGATTAGGGTTGAAGCAAAACTCTGCAGGAAATTGGATCTTGAGGGCCAGAGTTTGAGAATCCCTGATTTAAATACTATTGTACTGAACAGAACAGGTAGACTTCTTGAGATGGTCTTTCCACCATGTGAACAGCAAACAGCTAGAAGAAACCAGTTGGTTAGGTTGAAATTATCAGGGCAAGTTTCCAAACTGCAATACTGTATTGTAGCAAGTCACTCAAGTTTGTACAGTAAACCTTTTATCAGAGTCCCTGTAGCCAAAAATGAAAACACTGGCCCTACACAAACACGTTCCTCAAATGAAAGGAACATAAAAGCACCACTTGTAGCGGTTTTCCAGTGTCTGTGTGTGTGTGTCTATTTTTATCTGCTCTGTTCTATCTGCCAGTCTCTTCATCTTTAATTAGCACAGTAGAAACATGTCAGGGCCTTACAGTAACCACAGGTATTTGACAGATGAAATAAAATGTGTCTTTTCTCCATGCATTCCTTGATGCGATCTGATCAGGTTTCAGACTTGAAAGGAGCTCTCCATAATTACACTCCATGGGAAATTAGATAAACATTAACAATTCAAGGTCCAAAACATATCATTTGGGTTATCGGAAAATAACAAAACCAAAATGCGAACAAAGCCTGATGATTGATTGCAAGCTGAAGGAGAAATGGAAAGTTGCAACTGAGATGTGTACGGTGTTGAGTGGCGCTAAAACCCTTAGATAAATGAATTTGTTCCAGCAGACTAGATGTCCATAACATGGTGATTTATCTTCTGCCAGACTGAGTGCATCATGCCATCTTGAAGAAGACTGAAGACTCTTTCATCATACTGCTGTACATGCACAAACCAAAGGTGCCTCATGCTTTTCATGTGTTCACTTGCAGATGACCTTGACTTAGAAGAATTCCAGTTAGCTATTGAAGAGTCCAAACTACAAACCAGCATACAGTGTACCCCCATCCCAGGTAAATTCATCCAGCAGAAGATCTGAACTCAAGCTTATACGTATGCCATCAAGACTATAAAGGCTTGTTCACATCAAGTACAAACAAACGAATCAACAAGCATGCTAAAGAAATACATATTTTCAAATATTTTTTTACACCAAAACTATGCATGCTTCTCCAAATCCCCACCAACACGTAAGCCTAGCGTTATTTGATTATGCTCTGATAAAACTTCAAGTGTTGCAGTTTCCATAAACATTGCAGATTTAAAAAAAAAAAATTAACAAAGAAAGAAAACTGGTTTCAGCTATGACCTAATATTTATACAACAGTTCTTCTGGTTAGATTTTTTGATGGGTCAATGTTCTTTTTGCATTTTAACAGGACTAACTAAAGTGTGATTTTATGTATTGAAAAACACACAAGAGAACAAAATATTTTATGGCAAGGAAAATGTGGCTTATACTCTTTCTTAGATTTAATATTCTATGTCCTGGTTTCACAGACAGGGTTTAGGTTAAGCCAGGATTAGGCAATATTTCAATTAGGACATTTAAGTAGTTTTTATTAACATGCCTTAGAAAAAAATACTGGTGTGCATCTTGAGACAAAACAAAGGCACTGCCATATTTTAAGATCAGTTAGTGCAAGTTTCTTTCAGTTGAAACAGCCCAGACTTACATTTTAGTCTGGGATTAGGGCTAAACCTTGTTTGTGAAACTGGGGGTATATCTACAAGACACAAATAATTTGTTGCACCAAAACCATTTACTATCCCCAGTTTCTGCCATTTTCTGAAAAAAAAAAAAACATTTTTTTAATTATATTAAAATATATATATTCATAAATAAGCAATAAAACAAATGACAGACTCATGCAGTACAAGTTTTCTGACGTGGTGCAAAGATGCTGATAAATGCATTAGGTCTCATGAAACCAGTACAACAATTTGATGTGTACTTCATTCGTAAAAATTCAAACTTTGTTAAAACTATTTAAAAAAAGATTTACACAGAATTTTGTGTAACATTTTGTTGTGCGTATGATCCATACAGAAATTCAGTCTTGGTGTGAATGGTGTGAACTCAAGGTGATGTGTTTTTTCTGCTTAAATTCTAATGTATCATTTCATCCCTTCAGGTCCATTTAAACCATGCGATAACCTGTTTGACAGTTGGGTGGTACGGCTTGGCATGTGGCTCATCTCTTTGGTCTCGCTGATGGGAAACAGCCTTCTCCTCATGACAGTCTTTGCATCCCCCAGCTATCTCTCCCCTGTTAAGTTCATCATTGGCACCATCAGTGGCGCCAACCTGCTTACGGGCCTGTGCACCGGCACCCTGGCACTGGTTGACGCCCGGACATTTGGAGAGTTTGCCCTGCACGGCGCTCAATGGGAAAGGGGTGCAGGATGCCAAACAACAGGCTTTCTTTCAGTTCTAGCCTCTGAGGGCTCCATACTCTTCCTGACCTTGGCTGCAGTGCAGTGCAGTGTGTCCGTGTCATGCGCTCGAGCCTACGGAAAGTCGCCCTCTCTGGGAAGCGTGCGAGCCGCCACAGTGGCGTGCTTGGCACTTTCGTTGGCAGTCGCCGCTTTGCCGCTAATTGGGGTCGGAGAGTACGGGGCAACCCCGCTCTGCATGCCATCACCACTGCCGGACGGCGAACCTTCCACATTGGGTTACATGGTTGCTCTGATAATGATGAACTCCCTGTGTTTCCTGGTGATCACTGGAACTTACATCAAACTGTACTGGGACCTGATGAAGGGCGACTTCGACAGTATTTGGGATTGCGCCATGATCAAGCATGTAGCCTGGCTCATCTTCACCAACTGCCTGCTCTACTGCCCTGTGGCCTTCCTCACCTTCTCCTCCCTTCTGGGACTCTTTCCTGTGAGCGAGGAGGTTGTCAAATCTGTCGTCCTGGTGCTTCTGCCTCTTCCTGCATGCATCAATCCCTTGCTCTACCTTCTCTTCAATCCGCACTTCCGTGAAGATGCACGTTTGCTTTTGAGCAAAGCTCACCTCCATCATGACCGCAACCTGGATTCCTTCGTCTCTGTTGACACGGAGAAAAGCTCATACGACTCCACTCAAGCCTTGGTGTCCTTTGCCGCTGAAGCAGATGCAGTATTCGAGAGTTCATCAGCACCAAACCCAGAGACAGTCACCAGGTTTTCTTGCCCACCCTCAGTGCCTCTCATCCCATGCCAGATGCAGATGAACCCCTCAACAGAGAGGGATAATGTCGCAGAGAACCTGGTCAGGTCAACACCAGGACTCATTGTCAAAGAGCAGGAGCACCTTAGGAGCAGCGGACTGGACACTCATAATGGAACCTCCTTCTCTGGAGTCTACCACTCCACGCATCTCTCAACTCGTTCTTAAGTCTTCTCCTAAACTCTAAAGTTTTTAAAGACCCTTTGAGCATGAGAAGTCGTGAGCCCACATATGAACTGACCCCTAAAACCTTCAGAGCTAATGAACAATGAACTGTGTTTTAGGACTATATATATATAACCACACTGTCCCAACTGCTACATGGCATTCTTAAAGGAAAAAGTAAAGAAAAGCCTAATTGCATTTTGTGGCATAATCTTGTGGGCAATTTAGTAATTTAAGCAACAATCTTAAAATGTTCAAAAACAAATCCGCATTTATTTTTAGTAACTTGTTTGTGTAATTAGGCTTAAAGGAGTGTTCTGGGTTTAATATCACCTCCATGCATGGAATATTGATGATTTTCACCGAACGTAATTTCTTTTTTGACTCAACACTCTTTTTAAACAAGCGGGGGAAAATCATGCATTATGTACATACAATGGGAGTCAATGAGGCGAAGTACTGCACCTGCATAAAAATTCAAATTCACAATGCGTCTACAAAACACAAAGACAAATCCATGACAGAAATGATGTTGGTAATGCAGAACTAAAAATGAATCCACCTACAACAGTGGTCTCACATCTCATGAGCACTACATTTCATTGTTTTAAACCTGGAACTAAGGTTGCAAAGGGGCGGAAAATTTCCGGTAAAAAAAGTTTCCAAAATGTATGGAATATTTCCGAAATTTACTTGAAATTTTCCACCTTTTTGCAACCCTACCTGGAACATTCCTTTAATTAGGAAATATCACAGGGATGTTTGCTGATGTACAAGGAGTTATGCATCTAAATATTTCAATGTGAAAAAATGTCTCTACATAAAGCTCAATTCTTGTGTACGCAAACTTTTATGCATTAATTTCCAAGTGTGTATATATCAAAATCTCGTTAATTATTTGCAAGTCATCACTTGCTTACTAGCCCCTAAATAATAATAATAATAAAAAATGTATGGGAAGGTAAATACCTATGTATATTGTCAAATAATATTTAGTGTTTTAAAAAACAACAACAACAACAAAAACATCATGCCAACAGGTGCTAAAACATACTACCATAAACATACTCTCTGCAAGTACATAAAAGGCTTGGTAAACGCTCTGCAAGCTGTTCATGCTGTATATATTTAGCAGGCATTGTGACAGTAAAACACTTAACAGAAGCAAAAATTCACCATAGGAGACATTATGCTAATTCATACCATAATCCAGCTGACAGTAACTCTGAGAATGCAATACATATACAAAATTAAAACACACTAAAGCAAATTTAAAACATATTTTTGTAATAATCTGTAATGCAACACATTTCAAAATTAAACACTGCATTAAATTCAAGCTTGCATAGCTAAAATCATTTGCTTTCATGTACTTGTATAGCCTATGTTTGAGCTTCACAATGTAAGAATTTTTTTTTTGTCAAGTCCACAGGATTAAGGTAGAGCAAAACATGAAATATACTGAACATGTTGACGCTATAAACTGAAGATTAAAAAGAACTATGAGTGATTTGATTAGGTTGTAATAAAGCTTGTTCGGGATCTTTTACAGACTGTAAAGTAGGCTAGCTATTGTATTGTAAAATATAACTACCTCTGATCTAGCATGTTATACCTTTTTATCCTTATTGATTTCTATTCATTTTATATTAAATGTATATTAAAATTTAATTTTTATATTGAAATTTTAAGATCTTTGTACAACAGACACTATTCTGGATGTAAATATTTTCATATTTCTGTATACATGTGATAAAGAATGATTTAATAAAGTTATTAGTTTCATAAATGTATGTCTTGAAGACTACTGAACAATTCAGGGAGATATGAATGTAAAAAATATTCAAAGGTACTTCTACATTTTCATCAACAATAAACATGAAATCCTGTTGCAAAATAAAATGAGATCAATATAATTTAGATGTTGTAAGATTTTCTTGGGTTGCTCTGAAGTGCTTCCAGTGCCTCTCGTTTTCATATTTGTGTTCTTAAGAAAAATATTTTCATCTGTGTCCACAACACTCATAAAACACAAGAGACAAGTGAACAGTGTGTGACGACAGTGTATGAATTGCTGGACTTTGCTAGACAGTCATTACTAAACAGGCAGGCATGAAAATAACACATCTTACCTTGTTCTTCTGGATTCTATGTTCAGCCGTCCATTTCTTGGCCTTCTCTCCTCTCTATATATTGGTTTGTTGTGTTTAAAATCTGAGGACTGGAAAGTATGTCAGACAATTCATTAATTTTTAAGAGGAATTTAAAGCAATAACAAAACACTTAAAAGGATAGTTCACCCAAAAAATGAAGGGGATAGGTGTGTACGGCCATTACTGTGGAAACCGTTTTTTCTTCCTCTCTAAAAGCGCCTCCTGCTGGCCTGGCAGAAAATGCATTTGCACTTTCAATAAGCCTGTCTCCAGCAGCATGCTTTTGTTGCTGCTTTCTATTTTCTGCAGCAACTCTGAGCACTTTTCAAATTATTTATCCTGGCTGAAGCACATTTGTTTCAGTTTATAAGAATAATCTGCCTACGCCAAAGTTGTTCAACAGTAAGATTGTTAATGTTTTTTAAAGAATTATCTTCTGCTCACCAAGGCTGCATTTATTTGATCAAAAATACAGGAAACAACTGTAATATTGTGAAATAGTATTGCAATTTAAAATAACGGTTTTCTATTTTAATATACGTTAAAAAATAATTTATTCCTGTGGTGCAAAGCTGAATTTTCAGTATCATTACTCCAGTCTTCAGTGTCACACACGATCCTTAAGAAATCATTCTAACATGCTAATTCATAATCAATGATGGAAGCAGTTGTGCTGCTTAATATTTTTTTGGAACCTGTGACACTTTTGTCAGGATTTTTTGATGAATAAAAAGTTAAAAAGAACAGCATTTATTTATAATATAAATATTTTGTAACAATATACACTACTGTTCAAAAGTTTGGGGTCAGTACATTTTTTTCTTTCTTTTTAAAAAATAAATAAATTAATACTTTTATTCAGCAAGGATGTGCTAAATTGATACAAAGTGATTGTAAAGACTTCTATTGTTACAAAATATTTACATTTTAAATAAATGTAAATTTCTTTTTAACTTTTTATTCATCAAAAAATCATGACAAACGTATCACAGGTTGCAAAAAAAAACTTATGAATCAGCATATTAGATTGATTTCTGAAGGATCATGTGACACTGAAGACTGGAGTAATGATGCTGAAAATTCAGCTTTGATCACAGCAATAAATTACATTTTAAAGTACATTCACATAGAAAACAGTTATTTTAAATTGTAAAAATATTTCACAATATTAGTTTTTTTCTGTATTTTTGATCAAATAAATGCAGCCTTGATGAGCAGAAGAATCTTGAAGACTTCTTTAAAAAAATTCAAGATCTTACTGATCCCAAACTTTTGAGCGACAGTGTATGTGTGTGTGTGCATATATATATATATATATACAGCT